AATAACACTTGTACTGAGTTGTTTGAGATGTATGACTACAATAAAACGTTCTAATAGAACTGCTGCTATGTTATTCGACGTGTATGACCTCGAGATCTATAACGTTCATATAAAACTGATACTGAATTATTTGAATTGGATGACCAATATAAAATGTTTTTATAGCACTGTAACTAAGTTATTCAAGATGTATTACCCTAGATAAATAGAGAATATCATATGGCTTTTTCAATATCACATCCGTATCAACCCGAGACACCAATATAATCCCAAGAGCTCTGCTCGAGGGATTATATTGGTTGAGGGTTGATACGGTGTGTGATATTGAAAAAGCCATATCATATACACTTTATTATATACATATACCTCACGTAGATGTTTTTTATGTGACATGACGTCATACAGGTAAGGAGGTTTGAAATGGCGTCATACAGATTATAGGTTTGACATGACGTCATACAGATTAGGGGTTTGATAAAGCCTTTGCAACAGTGACTGCAATCGATGACGTGACGTCATACATATTAAAGGTGTGATAAAGCCTTTGTAACCGTGCTGATATCGATATCATCACGGTCGGCTGATACAGCATGCTTGCCAATGATTGTATTAAACATACAATTTATCTGTATTTACTACTAAGTATATAATAACGTTCATATAATACTGGTTCTGAGTTCTTTGAGGAATATGACTACTATAAAACGTTCTTAAAGCACTGCTGCTGAGTTATTCGAGGTGTATGACCTCTAGATAACGTTCATATAACGCTTGTACTGAGTTGCTCGAGGTGCATGACCACTATAAAATGTTCTTATAGCACTGTTACTGAGTTATTCGAGGTGTAAGACCCCTAGATAACACTGGTACTGAGTTGTTTGAAGTGCATGACCTCTACTTAACTTCAGATAACAATGCTACTGAGTTATTCGAGATGCATGACCCCTAGTTTATGTTCATATAACATCGGTACTGAGTTGTTTGAGGTGTATGACCACAATAAAACGTTCTTATAGCATTGCTACTGAGTTATTCGAGGTGTATGACCGCTAGATAACGTTTATATACTGCTACCGACCCCTAGTTAACGTACATATAACACTGGTACTGAGTTGTTTGAGGTGTATGACCCCCTAATAACGTTTATATACAAGTTTTACGGAGATGTTGGACGCTTTAACCACTACACCGCAGTTATCATATTTTGGGATACTTATTTTGATTAATGGTAGTCAAGACTGCTGTGTGTATCCTCTCCGTGTAGTGACTTCACCGCAAATTTCCTAAATGTAGTTTGTTTTCGGTGTGTATGTGTTAAGGTAGTTACTTTGTTTTTGGAAAACAAAAAGCGATCCAATTGCAATTTATACTTTATTTACCTTCAAATGTTTATTTTTTTGTTACTGTTACTGTTACTGTTTTTGTTAGTGGTATTGTTTATCCTTTACACGCACTGGGAATACAAGTAGTCATTTTCCGGGCATTTGCCAAATGTAGTGACTTTTCCGGGTAGGTCTGTATGTGTGTGTGTGTTTAGTTTGATCAGTATATTAAAGTGATTATGTTATATAGGCAAAACCTATAGTTATGTTTTCCCTCAATGCTCCTTAAGTAATAAGTTAGTACTTTATTTTGATTTTTAATATTTTTTCGAGCGTCGTCTTCCTTATAGGCGATGGCGTATAAAATTAAAAGTATCGTAAGTCGTTTTATCCCTAATTTAAGGGAAAATATGCGAAAACATTTATATATTACCTTTAAAATAATATAGTGTACATATACTAGTACATTGAATAACAAATAAATAAACAGATCAAATGAAAGTGTAATACTGCATGGGACATTTTTTCCTAGGTCATATTTTTATGATAGCTTTATTTCTAAAATAAAATAACTTTTGATATAAATTCTCCCCTTTTTATTAAAATGTATTTTAAAGAGTTCTGTCAAATATTTTTGTGAGGTGGTTTTCCAAAGTAAAATGGTTGTTTACGGTTTATTTTTTTTTTCAAAAAATCTATATGTTGATAATATGATATCTAAATTTTTGACTACGTGGTGTTCTTTAAAAAGTAAATTAGCAAAAATGTCGAATTCCGAGAAAAATCCAAAACGGAAAGTTTCTAATCAAATGGCAAAATCAAAAGCTCAAACACATCTCAAACGAAAGGACGTGGCTTGGTACATGTATTTTCTGATTCCATTATATTGACATCGATGTGTGAAAAAAAAAAAAAAACAGACATAATAGGTAAAAATGTCAAAAATATGGGTACAAATAAGGCCGGGAAAAGGTACCGGTATTTGAGGTATCCACTAACAAATGTCAAAACTATCAATAAAGTATGATTTACTAAAAAAAAAAAAAAAAAAATATGGATACAGCATTAATGTACATTCGGAAGACATGTAAAATGCAATGGCATTATCTATTATGAATCTATAAATCAAATACGAAAAGATTTCACCTTGTGTTATTACCAATTACTTAGTATAACACTTACATTGTGCATGTTTTATCGATATCAGAACAAAGTTTAGCCGAGGTTATCTTTCTCGAATAAAAAAAAACCTCCTTAAATATCTAAAATAATCATAAAATAAACGAGTTCTTCAATCTTTTGAAAAAGCAAGAATTATCTTTATTTGAGCCACTACCAATTAGTGAAGAGTTTTTTTTTAATGTTACTGTCCCACTAGGTAAATGAATTACAAAGGAACTATCCTTTTGTATTTTTTCTATGCCACGTAAGGGAGCTACCATTTGATTTTTATGGGAGGGCTAGGATGAAATTTGAAAGGCAGGACAGGAGTTTTGAGTAAAAAAAAAAGGCAGGATGAGCAACTTGGCAAAAAAAAGGCAGGATGACAATTTATGTAAAAAAAGTCAGGATAAAGTAATAAAAAAAAGGCAGGACCGAATAGAGTGAAAAATAAAAAGGCAGGACAGAGATTACAACTTAAAAAAAATGCAGGACAAAATTGTTCATCCTAGCCCCCCATAAAAATCAAATGGCGCCTTAACCCCAAATGTCGTTCATGTATGCAACTAATAATCATATAGCCTTCAACGCAAAGCCTTGTCCTATGCCGCATAACAAGCTATATATAGTTATACAATGACCAGTGTAAAACAATTCAAAAGAGAAAGACTACGGCTTGATATATAAATAAAACAATAAAAGAAAAAGTAATAGGAACTCAACAACAAACGAAAACCATTGCTTGAACCACATTCCCGTTACACCATCGGACTTTAGCGTGTCATACCATCACACTTTAGCGTGTCATACCATCACACTTTAGCGTGTTATCTGATCTCACTTAAAAAACAAACAACCGGGCATCGCACTTTAGCGTATGAAACCATCGCATTTTAGCGTAGACCATCGGACTTTAGCGTGACCATCGCACTTTAGAGTACCGTCGCACTTTAGAGTCCTATATATATATATAGAAAATTTTATCCAATTCCATCGCCTATTAAAACAAATTCTACGGGCTCTGTGTTGTATTTACTTTGGTTTACAACTATCAATGACTTCTATGAACCTAAGATGCTAATGAAACAGGAACAAAACGATACAAACAATATTTAGAGATCAAAATACATTTTACCTTCTTCAATTATACCTATTATAATAACATGTTAACTGCAAAAAGTAAAATAACATAAAAAACTAAACTAGAAATATTCAAAACAGACAGTCCATTATTAAATGGCATAATCAAAAGCTCAAACACATCGAACGAATGGAAAACAACTGTCATGTTCCTCACTTGGCAGAAAATGGTGGATTAAACCTGGTTTGATAGCTAGCTAAACTTCTTCCTTGTCTGACAGTCGCATAGAACACATATATTGACAAGAAAGTGAGCAAAAGAATGCTGGACAGGAGGCGGATTAAGGGGTGACAGGGGGATTTTGTGGAAAAAATTTTGGTTGCTTATATAGGGAATCACTGAACCATGATACTGGAGCGGGCCCCCTCGATCTGGATCCGCCACTGATCTAAAATTATATATTTATATATATATATATATATATATATATTATATAAGAACATCAGTTGTTCGACCTGCTAGTCAAATGCGTTTTGCTAAAATAGACTTTTTCACTTTTTTTTGGTCTTTTGGAAATTGTTGTTTGTGCTGTATTTAGACCCCTCTACCAAGAAATTTGTTTTGCATGCACACGTAAAAAAAAATTGCGGTTTTTATCCAACGCAATCATAGGTTTGAACGTTGTTTTCAATTTAGACTTTTTATATTTTTTCGTTTGGGCTTGTATTATATTTTCCTTCGGGTTTATATGATCCGTTCATCCTATTTCGACTCTTTAAAATTCAAGAGTCTATCCTAAATTGAGGTAAATCATATGGCCTTCCAAATACCGTTTCGATCCCTAACATCACTGAAGAGACATTTATTGTCGAAATCCGGATATGGTGTACAAATTTTTGCACCTCATGTTTGTGGTATACCATCTTTTCCACAAGTTTATTGTTTTCTGTTTGGTATTTAATTAATATTAAGATCCATTTTGTTAGATCTGGTGATCAATTTATTTGGCAATCGCCAATGGCAGTCAGCAGGGTTTAAGAACATCAGTTGTTCGACCTGCTAGTCAAATGCGTTTTGTTAAAATAGACTTTTTCACTTTTTTTTTGGTCTTTTGGAAATTGTTGTTTGTGCTGTATTTAGACCCCTCTACCAAGAAATTTGTTTTGCATGCACACGTATAAAAATTGCGGTTTTTATCCAACGCAATCATAGGTTTGAACGTTGTTTTCAATTTAGACTTTATATATATATATATATATATATATATATATATATATATATATATATATATATATATATAAACAACTATGTCAACAACAACAAAAAACACTTTTGAATAAAGTATATAAAATGGAAATGTAGTTGAAATCTTTCGGGCTAGGGACCGTTCACAGAAGATATAAATCAAATATTTACAGAAAATGTTTAATATTGAATCATAACTGTGTATTATTGTATGTGTGTTTGTTGCTTCGCTAATATCCTGGGACTCCAGCTACACCCTCTGTACAGGGTATTGACTCGTCAGAAATCTTGACAACTACTTCTTTACATCCCCGTTTTACTACTTTACAATCGTCTGGGTGGGATGTTATTTTCATACCCATTCTGTAATACAAAAGGTTATTTCAATAATAAGTCGTCGAGAGGAACGCTGCTAAACAAGAAATCACAAATGGATAAAAAAAGTTTGATGGGAAGAGAACAGCATAAGGTAGCAATACACAGTTCAAAGTTTAGTTTCGCATTATGGCCATGGTGAATTTTTTAAATATGAAAGTTTTTGTACAATAAAATAGATTTTTTAGATAGTTGAAGAATAGTATAGCCTTCCAAGTGGGTTTATATGATAATTTATATTGTTTTTGGCATGTTTTATAGGCCATCTTACTGTTTGACAGTCCGTATTTTCCTATCCGCACCGCCCTAGATCTAGAAATTATTGTAGTGATTTTCAACAAAGATTTGTTGCTCGATCTTTTCAATTCAATTTTATGGAAAAACAAGCAAAAATGCATATGATTTTTTTGGACCTCTTGATAGATATAGGTCTATGGTTTCAGGAAAGGTATCACTCTAATTGATTGAAATTTTCCTTTGGGCCAAATTTTTGAGACTTTTGTGACATGTTCACCCCCTTTTTCGCAATATTTTGTATCAAATAAATGCAGATTGTTGTCATGGTTACACCAAAATGAGATTATATTTCACCTTTTTAACTATTAAAAATATAATCTATGGAAGATGCTCTTTCCAGAAATATACACATGCATAACACAAATAGTAAGCCTTATTTATTAGATAGGAAGGAAAAGAGGGTGGTTAAAAATTATGAGTGTCAATTTTAAGATTTTTTCCTAATTGTGTATTGCTACCTAAAAGGACAGCATTGTATTTAACACGCAATATAAAAACTGCCGTGAGAATGAAAAACGTGCAATTGATAAGGTCATAAATCACGACACTATATGGTGCACACAAGACATGAGTAACGGTCATCCAAGACTAACCTCATTTTTATTTTTTTGTTCAAAACTTCATGGTTTATGCAGAAGCGTTCCCGGATTTTGAGGGGGAAAAGGGGGAAAATTATACAACGATAAGGACGGAACATGTAAAATGTCTATGCATTTAACCATATGTAGTATCATAAACGGGCCTCGAGACCCCTCCCACCCTCCGCTAAAGCGGCCTCTGCTAATACGATTAATTCTAATTGCCCTGATCCATACTACACATACTTACGGACAACACTGTACGACAGCGGGCATTATACATCTACAAAGCTCACAATCAACACGCTTGGCGGCTCCACGTGCAATATGCTGATTTCCTGTTAAACATCCTAACCCTTTACCAGCTACAAAATATATAGAATTATGTGCGTTTTATAAATAAAAGTATGAAGATACTCTGGATTGGCGATGTATTGATAAGTTTCAATGATTTGTTACAACATCATAAGGTCTACAGAAAAACACCGTCAGTTATATGTGTGTCATTTTCAAAAAATATCCAATTTTGATGCCTCGTTCACACGTACGTTTAATTCGAATTGAATTCGAATCCAATGCGAATCGAATTCGCTAATCGCGTTCACACACTCTTCTTTTTTAATTCGCATCGAATTCGAATTGGCTCATTCGAATTATCCAATACGCATCAGAAATGCGTTTTCGTCAATACGAATTAGTTAATTCGCATAAATTCGAATACACCTTATCGCTATTTGTCCGCCATTACTGGACATAATAGTAAATATCTGACGCCACAATGGAAAAGTGATTGTTGTATGACGGTAAAAGTTCGAGCGGGACTGATTCTCGGGTCAAGCGGGATTAGCGATAAGGTGTATTAAACTGTGGTGTGGACACTTTCTAAATTCTAATTCGAATTAAATTATAATAAATTAATTGTTGATGCGAATTAAAAGTATAACGTCGTTTGGACAGTAAAGCAAATTTGACGCGCATTGCAATTCGAATTAGAATTTACGTTCGGACGTAAAACGTTTCGAATGCGAATTAAACTAATTCGAATCAGTTAATGCGAATCGAATTCGAATAACGTGTGAACGCAGCATGAAATTTTGAAATTGATTTACAGTTACTTATTCAAACAACCCTCGTCATTAGCAAATCAAAACAAACAGTACTTATAGAACAACATATAAAAAGATGCAATCTTGATAATGTCATACAAGAATATATATATAAACATTTTTGATAGGTGGTGCAATATTTTGTCTCTCCTGTTACCATGTTCAAAAGAAATTTCGGGTTATTTAGAAAGGGTTTCGATAAAATTTTAAGCTTGTTTTTCGTAGCCAATAAGGCCTAAAAAAAATAATCTGCGTTTCCGGTAACATCATTTTGAAAAATAGGATCGGTAGGAACTTCTGTTAGGCGGAACAAATATACGTTGACACAACTGCTGTGCAAATTTCTTGGATTTTAACCTATTCGGAATACCTTTTGACATAAATAAAATGTTTTACTGGCTTTCTGTGCCAGTAGAAGCAAGTTAGATAAATAATTATGTCGAGTAACAGAAGCCTGTGTCAAAAACAGGGTCGGTTGATACCAATTTTTTTTTTTTTTGAAGATCCAATAAAAAAATTAGGGTCGGGGCTAAAAAAAAAGGGTCGGTCGGGTTACCGGAAACACAGATTTTTTTTTTCTCAGCCTAAGATGGTTTTCAAGAGTAAAAACTTCTAAATATATTCATTCTGTGAAATAATAGATTATTTGCCAATTTTCCATGTTGTACTGAAAAATGCTTCTAAAAATTGGTTTTCAAAGGTTATAAAAATAACCACCAGTAATGCAAGTCTAAGATAGCAATTGATAATGTTCAGCATTTGTTCTCTCTTTCAAATAAACCCAACATCAAGTAAATCCCTCGCACGTTGGTTTACTTTTGTTTTTATTTTATTGGTAACAGGAACGTACGTTAATGATAAATCACTATATTAAATTCTATCCTGTTACCTTTTTGTCTATCCTGTTACCGATAGCAGTATTGCACCTGCAAATGCTAAATTGCGAAGATTAAGACGTTATAACCTTTAGATGAGTTCAAACAACGAAACATTTCATTATGTGTGCAACCATATGTTATTATAAACATTTTAAAGACGTTTCTGTCTACTATTGTCTATCATGTTACTGTAACCATAGCAACCATAGTAACAGGATAGACATAACAGGATAGACAAATTTCTTCATTTTTGATTGTGAAATAACTACTCCCTTCGATGAAGTGATTATGTTTTTATGTTGTGATTTTGGTTTCCAACACGTTATTGCACTTTTTGCAAGTACAATATTGGTGTAATTAATCAATATGTTGGTAACAGCATTATGAGACATGACAAAAAAGTACCCACTATTTTTTTTCACTAAATGTCTTGAAATTTCTTTTCTCTACACTGTTATACAAGAAACGTGCTGTGTTAAATGTTAAGGTAACTTTGCGATTTTGAAATCAACACTGACTAGTTCAATATTCATAGAGACAAAAAATTACGGATGATTTAAGTAGCGGTAACAGGATGGACATGAACTTCATGTACGCTAATTGAATATAGTTTGTAGAAAAAATATACATATAATGATAAAGAAGCTACGATTTTTCGTTAGAGTTATTATTTACGTTCTTAAAAAGTCCCTTTTGCAGATATCAAGGCAATCAGAAAATAGGAAAAAAAATCATTTGAAATGTGTTACTCGGACACTGTACGCACATAAATTACGCAAAAATCGGACTTAAATATATTTTAATCTTATCAAAATAGATCTAAATCGTGTTTATTTTTAATGTTCTGACTCATAAATCCTACAAACGGTCATTTAAACACTTACAACTGCATTTTCCATTAGGAATAAAAAATTTAGCATGTGTGTACTGAAAATTCGACATTTTTTGAAAATGACCCATGTCTTGAACTTAATTTATACCTGATTTACCTTTAGAAATCAGAAGCTGGCATATCTCATTCATTAAGGTACAAATGTATAGCCCTATTTTTTGCAACAATAAAAACATAGGGTCATACGGTATTTTTGTGCATTCACATCGCCTTGTTTACAAACACTGTAGAATACTAGATTCGCACTTAATTCCTACACTGACTCCAATTTCTTTTCAGCACTGTAGTAAAAATATTTAGTGCATACAACATAATTTTTTTTATCTCTAGTTTTGATCCATATATCACAAAATAATTATTACAAACATTAGCAACCAATCAGAAGAGCACTGACTTCAATGTTATACAGAACGCGGGCGGTGTGTTATTTTAATTTACAGACGATTCAATACATTAAGTTTGCTGATTGGTTGTTTTCTAAGTTTTCATATATTTTCCTGTTACAAAAATAAACACTAAAAATTTGAAATAGAGAGTGAGCGATTTCCATTCCCGTATCTAATGGTTACGACAAATCTGTTGTTGTTCAAAGTTCCTATTATTTCCCTTGGTATATCACCGCAACAGATATTCTAAATACATGTGCCCAAAACATTACCATGCTGTATTTACAAATGTGATCAAGGCTCTTTTTTCCTTTAAAAAACGAACTGACATACTTTGATGGAGACTATATACTTGCGTACTGTGTAGTCGGACTCGGACTTCTCTTAAACTGAGTTTTACTGTGCGTACTGTTGTACGTTTGTTTTTTCTACATTGGCTAGAGGTATAGGGGGAGGGTTGAGATCTCAAAAAAACATGTTTAACCCCGCCGCATTTTTGCGCCTGTCCCAAGTCAGGAGCCTCTGGCCTTTGTTAGTCTAGTATCATTTTTAATTTTAGTTTCTTGTGTATAATTTGGAGTTTAGTATGACGTCCATTATCACTGAACTAGTATACATATTTGTTAAGGTGCCAGGTGAAGGACGCCTCCGGGTGCGGGAGTTTCTCGCTGGATTGAAGACCCATTGGTGGCCTTCGGCTGTTGTCTGCTCTATGGTCGGGTTGTTGTCTCTTTGACACATTCCCTATTTCCATTCTCAATTTTAATTTTATAGTTGCCCGTTTATATCATACTATTATATCCTAATAATTTAATTTTGGATGTAACGCGTCTTCTGATTGGCTGACGTTGTTTTGTTTATCAGCTCATAGACATAATTTTGTCATGTGACCGTGACGTCATCAACGTTTTTTCATGGTTTACTTAGGTTTAAAATGGAATTTAGAATTAAATTATAAGAAATGACTGTAATATTTTTTCTGTCTATTCGAAATAACATAAAAAATGTGGTGCACACTTTAAAATAACCCGCTACGCGGGTTATTCAGTGTGCACCATATTTTTGATGTTATTTCTTCATAGACACAGTTGGAAAGCAAGTCCTTGGAAACGTCCGTTGTCGTCAAGTTCTATCAGCAACAATAGCAGGGGGAATTAATTAGGTGGCGCTACAGTCGTCGGTGACGTCAAAAAGTCCGCGAAATAAATCGGCTAAAAAATCGACGTTTAAACTATTTTTTTCAACTTGTCATGCTTTTATTATAATTGATTTTTAAAGTTTGTAGATTTTGTGAACAATATAGTTTCAATACGACATTGAAACATTGTCGAAAATAACTTTTATTTGCTATTACTTTATCCTGTCCGTTCTAAAAATGATCAGCCATCTTTTTTGTTCACCAAAAACATCGAATTTATATAACTTGACGTTTGCGTATCCAAATACGGAATAGAACGTTAAAAATCTTAAATGAAACCGGGTAACCTATTTCAAATTTCTCCACAATTATGAAGCCATCATTTTTTACTATTATACATCAATTTTGGTGACCACCAGTCATATCAATTTGTACCTGGTTTTGGCTGCGTTTCTACTTCAAAACAGTAGAGTTCAACTTCTTTTCATTGTACCTGTTTCCAAAGTACTCTGAAATACTGATTTTATTATAGATATGAATGAAATTGTGATTAAAAATTGTTGTTTTTCACAATTCCATACGATATCTCCATTTTAAAGTAATTAAACCCCTTTTTGATCCCCTTCACAAATTGACGGTGACATTGTTGTCTTTTTCAACATACGTCACATATAACGTTTACAAAATATGTGTCAGGGTCATGTGCATAGTGAAAATTTACACATTGGACAAGTGAAACAACAAACAAAGTTCTTCTTTATGGCGTTTGAAACTATAGGTCTAAGAAAATTTCATTTATACTGGAAGCAAATATGACAAATTAATGATGGCCTATGGATAAACAAAAGCACAAAAATAGCAATAGAAAATGCATTGCAAAGAAAATTTCTGGAGGAAAAAACATTTGAAAAAAGGAAATGAAGGTCAGTTAATAGTATATTTATATTTCATAAGTTAAAAACCTT